AAACTTTAATCAGCGTCATTATAAATGTGCCAATGCAGGTCATATAGCTAATAGTCGGCTTTTATTCCTTGACTGAGGCTGGAATAGTCATCATGACAGCAGTAACACATAAAACTATGTAATTAGCCAGACCGCGAGAAAAGAGAGTAAACAGGATAAAAACAGGTTGCAAACAAAGTGAATAATAAACAATGTGAAATAACAACATTTATAATTTATTCGGGTTTTATGGAAATTGTCTTTTTATGAGGTGTAAACGTAATGCTGTGTGTGTGTGTGTGTGTGTGTGTGTGTTCTGCAAAATGAATCACTCCGCCTCCACTCAAACTAAAACTAATTAGCGCATCTTATGAACTGTACATTGGAAAAATAATGCAATTTCCAGTTTTCCTAATTAGCCTGGAACCTGGCCTATAGAGATTTCAGACACAGACAATAGCTTTGGTTTTTGAGTGCTTAAGTTCAAGCGCCTTAAACCCAAACATTACCAGCTCAGTACAGCAGGGGGCGGTACTTAGACAAACCCCTGAACTTCAGTTATCACTTCTGTCCAATCAAGCCTATCTGCACACGGACCATTTGCTCTTATCCCCCCACCGTGGCTCTCTTGAATTTACCCGTCGTCGTCTTTTATGAGCTCTGACAATTCATGTGACAAATAGTCTCCGGGCCGTCTCCCCCTTGGGACACCTCACCTCGGCAGTTTTCGCTTCCCTTTTGATGACAGTCTTCTGGTAGTGAAGACTGACCATGTGGATCAGCCATGGGGAATCACTGTGTAGAATCATTATACGCCACCTGCCAGCATCAATCATCATGTCTGCTATGGAGCTGATGTTTTGCTGGCTGCAGTGAAACCGTGCCACCCTGTGGCAGGAGAGACCATCCGGGAGATCAGTGGCTTTGCAAGCTTGACATCAAACATTCGAATTCAGTACGACGCTTTATAGATATCTGCAGGAGACTCTTCTTTTCATTTTCCTCCCTGGTCCTTTAGGTTGGAGCACAGGGTCTGGTAGAAGTAGGGCCTTGTTTGATCATTTGAGCTGGGTGGATGTTCCCCGACGCTGTTGCTCGGGAACAGACCTCTGCTGGATCAGCCGCTTTCATCACGGCTTCCCCAGCTGTGATACAGTCTGATGGTGGAGTTTCTGCATTGTTATAGAGGATTTTTTACTCCAAATTTGTACAACTGAAAGCATCTTTTCCATTGTGACATGCTACAATTCCCACCACAAATACCTCTGAACAGCCCTTAGTGGGGATAATCTCTCACACATGACTTCCATTCTGCACCAGTTTAATAGGACAGAGTCCTCCTGGACCGGATTTACATGCATGGGCCTCTGAAGGGGTCTGTGCATTGGCTGGAACTCAGATAAGACTTATTGGACTGAGTATGCTAATCAGCCCTTCAAAAATCCCGGTTAGTTCATTATCATCCTCAAGTACATACTGTATTTAGTCTGATTCTGTTTCCATGAATGTTGGCAACAGGATGGAAATCATTTCAATTCTGCTGGTTGGTATCAGTGCCAGAGATGCCAGAGGGTTCAACATACTCAGCTACAAAACAAAACCAATTCGACTGAAACTGAAAATGCTCGAGACAGAGATACCACCCTATCCATGACTCACTATGGAGACAGGAGCTCCGTACTGGACAACAGATTTATCTCTGCTGTCATAAAGAAGACTTCAGGGAGTCACACCTTCCCCTCACCACTGTACAACAACTCACCTCTCTGTCACTGATAATCACACTTTGGACATCCTGGGACTACAAATATTCAAATATTTATGGAGATTTGTTCTGAGCCTTCTACATATTGCTCTTAATCTAATCACTCTGGTTCATTATTTTTAATGTCTCAGCCCCTAATTATCCTGTCACTTTAATTTTGATTAAATATTTACCTTCTTTTATCAGTTATCATTGCCAGCTATTTATTATTAGATGTTTGATACGTATAGTGTTATTACTTAGCTAGCGCTTTATTATCTGATTATTTCAATACCAATTTTAATACTGAGCTGTAAAGAAACATTTGACTCCATTTCCCTATTTTTACTACTAAAAGCAAAGAAAAAGACAGAAGGGAAATGTTTAAATATTCAACTTCTGAAGTTGAATGGATTTCACTTAAATAATTCTGTCACGTCCTGCCAGCATGTAATAATTAATTGGGAGGTATGTCAGTGTGGGTGAAAAGGTGGTTACTCAGTGTCTTCTCTCTGAGTTAATGGTCAGCTCCGGGTTCTGGCACTAGAGGTGGTCAATTAACACATCAAACTGAACTAGACAAGTAATGTACTAATTCAGACAGTTACAAGTAACTGTTATTACATATGCAAAAGTATTGTTGATAGAGAGTCTATTTCTGGTGAAACTATAATTATTTACTGTGCAAAGTCAGATAAATTATAATCAGCATGTATGTGATCTTTGAAAAATTAGCAATGAACATTTAAGTTTAAAAGGTTCCCTCAAGGCCTGGAATGTAATAACATTTGGTTGGATTTCTGAGAATTTATTTAGTTTTATGCATACTGCAATGTGTAACAAGCATCTAAAAAGGACAATATTCCAGTTTATGTGTATATGGAAGTCCCTAATTAAATGTGTTTTCATATTTCTGTGCAGAAACACCATTTGTTGACCTGGACCGAGATGATGCCTCATAACCGAGCAGTGTCCTGAATTGTGGCATAAAATTGGCTGGGACCAACAGTGCAGGCAGGGCTTTTTTGCGCATTAGTGTAATATCCATCCATTATTCTAACCGCTTATTCGCTAATGGGGTTGCAGAGAGAACTCCGTCCTGAAACTGTCTGTTTTTGGCTCCACAGTTCTTACAGTCAGTGGATCCTCTCCTTGCTTCTACAGTCCTCGGTTCTTTTTCCTCTTTTTCCTGTTGCGTGACATCATCTTCCCTTATTTTCTCCAACTTAAAAAAGATCACAGCTACTACGACAGTGAGGAAGACTGCTGTGACTTTAAGGCAGCACCAGTGTTAGGGCGGCTTACAGCTCATAATATTGCTTTGACCTTTCCCTGGAACCCTAATCTGCTTCATAATCCTCTCATGATTGTTTCCTTGATGCGCCAGGAAAAAGATCCTCCTCGCCGGCCTTTTATTCACAACTTCCAAGTTGCTGTGGTGTTTCCTGCTCGTTGTTGAAGTAAAAGCTGTAATAGGAAGAATCGCTGTTGGGGTCTGAGCATTTGTGATCCAGCCATTCCATTTCCATTTGAAACTCCACTATGACACTTTCTGTCAAATTACACTTGACGTTTAAGATTAAGTTTGAAACTGTACGTTTTTTTTTTATTATTAGACAAATGAGTTGGTGGCCCATGACCAGCTACAGGTCATTTTTTATAATATGGTCACAACTTTTATGTGAGTCAGTATACAAAATCTTCCAAACAGGGACTTTTGCCTCCAGGACTTTTCCTGCTTTCGGCCCCTTAAACGTGGATCGCCGTGTGTTTTTGTGTCCACGGCGTAGAAAATAGGCTCAAACAGCCATCTGCGTGGTGTGGGAGTGGGGGCTGCTCGCCTGATCTGGCGATTCGTGAAACATTAAAGCGCCCTTCCAGGGAAACGTTTGACATTTGTTCCTTTCCCCCATCGTGCTCGCTGAGGAACAGCCGCCTGAACTTGGGTTACCGCCGGGGCTTTTTTTAGCCCGCTCCTTGAACGAGGAGTCCGGAGCAAATTGTTGGGTCTGGCCTGGAGAGAGGCGTGCAGCTGTGCTAGGCCGTGGATCCGTGCAGGGGCCAGGAGAGGAGAGGACAGGCAACGGCCGCTGCCATGGACCGGTGAGGCTCCACGGGTCTGTTTTCCGCAGGGCTGAGTGCAATACCTCCAGCTAAACGCAGCCACTCGTTACCTAACGCAGACCAGAACGCACACGGGACACGCATGCATGCAGAAAAAGGCTTAAGATGACCACTGTCAGCACCAACACAATCGCGTTTACTTAGAAAAATGTTACACTATGTCGTAGAGAAGCCTATTTGTTCATTTGAAACGAGGTTGCACTGTTCTAACCAGAGAAATGTGTACATTTCTGTGGGAAACAATGTACAAGCAACATGTAAAATGCTCGGAAATCAGCATTTCCACAGCCAACAGATGAATTCAGTGGGATCTTCTTTGTATTCCTCCTAAGTGTAATCTGCCACCAATTGTGTATTTTACCTTTGCAGATATGCTACGGTGGAGCACTATAAGGCAGCCATGCTGCTGAGTGGAGCTGGGGATGCTCTGGGCTACAAGAATCAGCTGTGGGAGTACAACGAATCTGGACCAGCCATTCACCAGGTCAGTGGGATTAGGACTCAAAATGAGGCCTTGGATTTGGAAGATGCAAACTTGTTAAAGCAATCAAATTCTTGTGTTGTTTTGAATTTGACAGCACAGGCACAAAAGGACTTAGGATCATTTCTAGGAATCGTTTTATGTGAAAAAGATTCATTACTCAAATATCCCCCGTTCAGTAGCTTTTCTGGTCAAATCGGTTTAGGATTGATTAATTGTTTTCATTCCCAAATGTTTCTAAATTGTGTAGGAGTTTGGATGTGGTTCCCCATCTTGTGTGTCTGTTTAGGAGCTGCAGGAGCTGGGCGGTCTGAAGAACATCAGGGCTGAGCTCCCTGACTGGCCAGTGAGTGATGACACAGTTCTGCATTTGGCCACCGCAGAGGGACTGGCAACAGGTGAGGTCAAAATCCCCCTGAACGCACGTGCCTGTTGCAGTTTCCACCCTGGTTTCTGTTTGGAATGAGGATTTGATTGGATTGATCAGCCCTTATCAGGACACGACACCTCCCGCCCTCCTCCTCAAGAGCGTTAGTTAAAGGTTAAATCTAATTTCCAGTCACACCTTGATTTGCTGCTCCATTATGGCTCTGCACAAGTGCAAAAACAAAGACGGAAATTCAGCTTGACCTTTCCCGTGATGAGGCAAACAACCTGCTCTGTACACAGATCAGCTTCGTCCTGAGTCTGTGCTCTGAATCAGTTGTGGTCCTCCTTGCAGGGAAGGTAGGGGAGGAGCTCCTGCACGAGGTGGCTGCCCGCTACGTGGAGGGAATGAAAGACATGGATGGAAGGAAACCAGGCCCTTCCAGCATTCTGGGTAAGTGTTCACCGTGAAATAACTACTACATATGCTGGTCCACAAGATACAACTGGAATTTGCTTAATTCCCTGTTTTTCTTTTTAAATAGGTGTATCCCAGCTAAAGCCTGGAGAGGAGGGGGGCTACAGAGTTCCATATAACCCAGCGGGGACGGGCTGTGGGGCAGCCATGAGGTCCATGTGCATCGGCCTGAGGTAAGGCAGACAGATGCATCGTTTATTTACATGCATTCCTACACATGGCATAGAAATAGATACTATATACCATGAATGGGTTAAGGCAGCTCTTATGATGGGATGTCACGGTGAGGGTAATGGATGGACGCACTCACTGGGTATAAGTCCCTTTAAATGAGATGTACAAATGATCTTAAGCACGTGACAAGATGTAGATTTCCTAGCTAAGAGGGGATTTATGTTGATGATCTCTTTTACCATGACGTTGTCTAACTTGTGGATGAGAATGATGGGAGTTGTGTTCCTTTTACAGTCACACTCCTTATCCTCAAATGAGGAAAGATCTTTGGGATTTTTGTTGGTCCATTTCTTTTGTAGATATCTGTATTGTTGCAGCATCAAAGTTCTTAAGCATATGAAACACCTAATTGTTCCTGTCTAATCTGCCACCGGTTTAGTCGACCAGTACTCTTTTTTTCATGAAGTATTGGAATACATTCTTGTTCCTCTCATGCCCAACACATGATTCTTTCTCGGCTGTGGAATGGAGCTCCAGCATCGTTAATTATAAATACTGATTAAGACTTAGGTATTTCCTCCACACCAGGTATCCCAAGCCTGACCAGCTGTTGTCTTTGGTGGCTGTTGCTGTGGAGACGGGCCGCATGACCCATCCGCACCCCACCGGTTTCCTGGGCGCCGTAGCGTCAGCCCTTTTTACCTCGTATGCCGTCCAGCGCCGGCCAATCACCACCTGGGGTCTGGGCCTGATCAATGAAGCCTGCCCAATCGCCAAAATGTTTGTGCACGGCCGAGAGTTCGCCGTGGAGGAAGCGGAGAGAGACTGGGACTACTTCTGTGACAAGTGGCAGTGGTACGTGCCGGACAAATCAGGCTTTTCTAAGCCGTCATGTAACCTTTAAGCTCAGGCCGGCAGCAGCAGCTCTAACGGTTTAAGCAGCAAGGGAACACAGATGGTGACCCAAAGTTTGGACCTCATTCATATTCTAACCCACATTCTCTAGCAGAGATAAAGCTGAGTGAAAAGACAAGAATTTGCATGTTTAACATCTCGTAAGCTGTGCCGATGGGAATGAATGTCAAAGCCCACATTTAGAAAGTCTCACCTCTGTCCAAAGGTACCTGGATTTTAGGGGCATCTCTAATGGAGTGGGGCCTGTGATTTGGCCTTCCCCCTATGGCCCAGCTGAGAGAGACGAGGCCTACAAGGGCTTCAGTCTGTCTGGCTGGGCCGGACGCAGTGGACACGATGCTCCGATGATAGCGCTGGACGCCCTGCTGGGGTCAGGCTCCGACTGGGAGGAGCTGATGAGCAGAGCAGGCTTCCACGGAGGTCAGTAACTACTAAGTACAGCGTCTTCCTAACTCTTAATTCCACCAAACATTTCTCTAAAATATGAATATTTGAATAAATGACAGAAATATCTGTCTGAAACCGTTCGTCTCTGAACCTGACGCTGCAGTAATGCCGCTAGTATCAAGATTTTTTATTTGAAATAGTTTGAAGGCTTCCAGCTTCAGCAACAATATTAAAACTTCGTTCAGTATAAATCGCTATTCTGCTTGTTTTTCATCATCAGAATGTAGACGTTTCCATGCTCTGTAAAAGATAGGCTGGTTTTTCTTTTTTGTCTTCCCCTGTGGTCATGCACTCAATAACAAACGGACACCTTCGTCTCTCTCCTCTCCTGACCAGGCGACAGCGACAGCACCGCGGTGATAGCCTGCTGCTGCTGGGGTCTCCTCTACGGCACCGCAGGGGTCCCTGAAGGCAACTACTGCAATCTGGAGTACCGGGACCGACTGGAGCGCTGTGGCCAGCAGCTCTACGCCCTGTCGCACTGACCAGGCGGGGACGGCGGCCTGCAGGTGTCGTAGGGAACGGAAAATGGGACACGCCGATGTAAAACTGAGGAGCGCATTGATCCAGAGTGCTGTCACTGAGCCACAAAGCGTGTTGTCATACTTGCCTGAAGGTGAAATCCTGCCCCACTAACCCAAAGAGCCATTGCTCCCACGACAAGAGCGGCGAGCATCATGATGATGGTTGATGTGCGTTTGGTTCCCCCTAGCGCAGGTTTTAAGATGGCATGGAGCCGATTCAGAGCAGGACGCCTCCCAGCCACCAACGAAAATTCAAAAGCCCCGCAGGAGGTCAATAACTGTGTCAAGCTGATATAATAAATGCTCTGTGACTTCAAATTCAACGTGTTCCTGCTGAAGGCTGAAATACATTCCCGTGTCTCATCACGGCAGTTTAGTTACATTGTGAAGCAAGCAGGAAGTATCACTGCAATAACCCAGATAAACACAATTCATGATCAAATAAATTTAACAGAACACTGTGGTTGAGTTGAAAACTTTATTTTTTGGCCATTGTGTTTTTTTATTTGTTTTTTTTAAACTTTTTTTGTCTTGTCCATTTTTATTTATTTATTAAATGTTCCTACTGGAGAGAGGAGGGGCAAAGGGGTGGTTTTAACTAATGATTTAAAAAGTATTCGCTAAAAGTCCTCACTCAGCTTGATCGTTCCCTCTTTTCGTGCCGTGTTCATGGGAGTCCCGTGACAGTCTGTGTTGTGGTACTTAGAAAACCTGGCCAGGCTAAAAACACATTCCTGGAAGATAAAGGTTCTGTTGCTGTTTTTCCATCTGTTTTTCACGCTCCCGCTGGTTCACCCAGCAAGGTTCCTCACGTCTCAAAAAAGAGGAAGGGGTCGGGGGGACGAGCTCAGCAGTCGGAGGGGGTGGACGTTGCTGCTGTCCTCTCGTCCTGACCGTTACCTTTTGAATGAAACGGATGTTTGTCCTGATGAACAACATTACAGCAGAGCAGTAAGGTGCTGTGAGAATCTCTTCTCTCTGTATGCATCTGTCAGTTTATAATGAGTCATAGTTTCCTGGGCCTCACATCCAGCACGCAGGGGGCGGGGGGGGGGGGCAGTTTGGGTGGTTGTGGAGGAAAGAAAATTTAGTTTCCAGGCTGATGGAATGATGCTGGGTGTGTTTGTACCGGCACTGCGGTGAGAGGGAAACAGGTTCAGAAACGGTAAGGCAGCCTGCCTGGACTCTTCCAGATGAACAGCTGTTCTGTTCTGCACATACCTTGTGGGTGTCCTATATAAAAGTGCTGGGGTGCACCTTGCTGAGGTCCGTGCTGGGGGTGCTGGGGGACTCCCCCTGGACCCTGTTGAGGTTGTAACATCACCAACTGTGGCTGACCGTGGCTACCTGAGTGGTGAGGACCTGACATGGCTCCCTGTACATGGGCCTAGAGGACAAAATTAAGATCAGAACATGAAAGGGCTTCCCGTTTAAACCACAGCTTACATTTAATGCCTACATATAAAGCACAAGGACAGTGTTTCTATAGAAGAATGGAGTCATACCTGCGCTAACTGCCCCAGGGGGTAAGAGGGCGGGAGGCCTTGGTGGCTGTGAATGCTGTAGCCCTGAATGGGGTAGGAGCCCTGTGGAGACGTGTGACCTGGAGGCATGTTAGGCGGTGTAGGTGCTGACAAAGGACCTGAGTGGTACAAAGACTGAGGCTGTGGGCCAGACTGGGCGTTCTGAAAGAAAATGTCAGACAGAAAATAATGTGTCAAACCATAAATCTTTAATCCTGAGGGGTGGGCTGAACCTATGCCTCCCCAGAAAAACAGAACACTCATTAGTTTGCACATATTTTGATGTTGGGCACTCAAAATGTCTTGAGTAAAATATTGTTTCCCTTCATACCACCTTAAAAATCCATCATCATAACATATTATCTGGGACTACTTTTAGCAAGTTTAAAATAATGGTGATATAAACTGTGCCATTCGTACCTGTCCGGGGCTGGGAGCAGCATGCTGGGGTGGGGGCTGGTTGCCTGTTGGGGTTGAGGATGGCTGAGGCTGATGAACGGCGCCTGAATGATGGGTGAATGACTGCGGAGCTGTGCAGAGGATGAATAGTTTTTGTTTAGAAAACTTGAGTTACGTTCTCTCTCCATAAAGGAAATATTTCCTCATTCACATCAGTTCCCACTCACCATAGATGCCCTGCTGTGGCCCCTGAGACCCATCGCCTTGTGTGGGGAACTGTGGGGTTCCTGGCGGTCCGAGGGCTTGTGGGTGGGGACCACCACCCTGACTTATCATCCTGGCTCCACTCTGAAGCATGGAGTACATTTGCTGCAGGGGGCAGAGGAGGGAAATCAGTAACCTTACAAGTTACCATTCAGCATTAAAGTCATCCTCAAACGAACTGATTGTGTTTTTATATTTGCTAACAATTCAAAACTATTAAAAAGCTTAAATTGTATTAGATTTTTTTTTTTTTTTTACCTGTCCAGGGTAGGTTGTCATGGCCTGGATGACCTGCTGCTGGCTGTACTGCTGAGGGTTGTACTGCAGGTAGGACTGAGGATAGGGAGACACCAGAGGAGCCCCTGCTGCTGATGCCTGCAGCATTGGCTGTGCGGAGGCGCCGTGGTCAGAGCGCGGAGCCACCACAGAGCCTGGTGACGGGAAGGAATGGTCAACACAACAGAAACCACACTTGCTTTACGCTGACACCATTCAAATGACAGCACTGGTCAGAAACTCTGAATTCACCTTTGGTCCGTGGGTATTTTCCTTGGCTGACAGTGGACATGGTGTACTGGTACATGGGAGGAGGCTGAAAGCGGAAGGATCAACAGGTAAGCTCTAGAAGAAACTCAGCTATACTACTATGCAAAAACACAGGTGCAGCATTACTGGACTGATCAAAAACTCAAAGAGAATAGTCAGAGAATTTTGTCACACACTTATATCCCCCCATACACTCCGCTTAACAGTCAATCGATTTGAGAAACTTCAACATATGAACATACCTGCACAGGGTGGATCTGTGAGACATAGGAGAGGTAAGGAGTGTAGGAGGAGATTGGACCCTGACCGTGCGGCATGACAACTGGGCTTGGAGGAGTAGGCCGAGGGGGGGTGGGGGCAGTGTTGGGCTTTGTCTGTAATTCAAAGCACATTGTACATTTAGATCATACTATACCAACATGTGAGCTAACATTATTCAAAGGGGCCTGTGTAAATAGAATGGAGCAGAGGTCTACACGTTCCACTGACTTACCATGGGCATTTGAGCTTTGATTGGGTTGAACTCTTTAGCGTTCGGGTTTAAGGTTGATTTCTTTACTTGACTGAAACAAAGAAAAAAAAAAGAAAAGAAGAATTAGATCCCAGAATTATCATGACAGTATATAAGGCCAACCGTTAATGGAGAGAAATTCATGATCCCTCTTCAGACTCACTCTGCTACACCCTCTGTGTGTTCTGCTGTGTCCGACTTGAGATCCTCACTGCCAGGGGTCCTTGCAGGCTGAGGGGTGGCTGGTGACTGCCTGTCAGAAAGCGGTGTTGCTGTGTTGGTGGGCGCGGTGCCCGATGGGATCGCAGCATCCTTGGTTGCGTCCTCAGGGGGAGCGGGCGAGGCCTGAGGCTGGGAAGAGCTGGGAGCAGGGGGCTGGGACTCTGACGCAGGGCGGGCGTCCAAGGGCAAGGGCTTGGCCGCGCTGGACTGGGCGGCATCACTGACGGAAGCAGGAGCTGCTGCTGGAGCAGTGGGAGAGGTGGAGCTGCCCCCACTGGACTGAAGCTGGAAGTAAAGCACAGCGAAAAATACAGATGACACACTTGGGGAAACTGTGAAAAGCACAACTAATTGCTTCAGGATTTATTTCTGCTATATGTTCATATACTGCATTTGGAATGATGAAAAGAGGCTTTTAGAATTGCTCCCACCCAAAAATCTAATTTATTTTGGGCTATTTCATGTGACTTATGTGACTGAATCAATCCAAATGCTAACATCTCAGAATGTTTTAGCTTGTGGTGCCTATATATTTCATTTTGTGTGAATGATAGTTAAGACTCAGAGTAAAAAAATAAATTGATGAGAGATGTCTCTCTTTACTGAGCAGGCCAGCCATCTACTGCTCAGTCTCAAGTGAGGAATGTTAACAATCAGAGCTACATGAAGGAAAAAGGACTGATGTTTCCAATGAAAATCCAAGTAATCAGTAATATCTGGCTTTTATGTGACCTTCAGTGTACTTAAGATTCTCTTTAGTTCTTCAGTGACAGTTGTACTCTTACCCTAAATTCTATGCCAAATTTCCGCAGCTCTTCAATCTGTGACCTTTGCTGGACTGAGATCGATGGAAGAGAGAGGGGAAAATAAGGATAAATAACAGTCCGAGCACAGCAGCACCGGGAGCACAACGACCTTGTTAGTCTGCAGAAGTCGGTTGTGCTCTCCTTAAATCATTTGCCAAGTTTGGATGATACTTTTTTAGCCTTCACAGACCTTTGCTGCTCTTGCCGTCCTCCGTGCTGGCCGGGCTCTCTGCGGCACGTTCTTTTGCAGCTGTGCCAAGGATCACATTCACTGTGAAGAAAACACAAACAGGGGTCAAATGTTTGGAGTACTTCGCCACCAGCCTTAAATACATCTTGCCTACTATTCTAAGGCCTTCGTCTCAAACTCTTTTGGCATATTTTTGTTATAAAATTCAAGAAAAATGAAGAACAACAATAAGCTTAGGCAATGTCAAGACATGCTAGCTCTAGGTTAAAAACTTTCAAGAAAACTTTCAGAGTCGTTTTGGTTATATAATAACAGCCAAAACAACCACAAATCCTGGTAAGACAGTACCATCTACAGGAAAGAGGGGGGCGGGACCAGATGTCTTCTGGGTAGGCAGGGAGACAGAAGAAGTGTCCAAATAAGGCGGGTCCTGGGAAGAGATCGATTTAGGGGAACGGGCAGCTGCAATTCACAGAGACCAAAAAGACTCAGATTAGCTATTTGGATGTTTGACCGTTACGTCTGTCATGTGGAGGAAAAACTGGACACTGACTGAATGTGACCAAAGACCATACCTGCTGACTGAGCATGACAGCTGGGATTACGGTTTGTCCTGCTCGACTGAGGCGGTCTTTGGGCTTTTGGTGATGTTTTAGATGAGACTAAGGGAAGGGAGTAGATGAATATTTTCATAATAAGTCAAATTGGCCTGGGTGAGCCATGCAGACAGTAAAATAGCAACGACCATCTCTGACACTTACCTCCATTAACAGGTCTGCTGCCATCAGACAACGAGTGTGGGAGTGAGTGGGAATGAGGAACTGCATGTCCATGTGGGGCGGGGGGGCTGGCTGGAGATGTGGCAGATGAGGCAGAGGCTGGCGAGGTCGCCTGACCCCCTGGGGAGGCCGGTGTGTATGGACTTGCGGGGCCGGAGCCTGGGCCCGGGCTGGGGCTTCCCTGTGGTTGGTGGGGACCACCTCGAACTGACAGAGGGCTGCTTCTCTCTGAGGGAGACATCCCAGACTGGGGTCCAGTAGCAGAGGGCAGTGGAGGTCTGGGCGATGAGGAAGAGGAGGATGGAGGGGTAGAGCGGTAACCACCGCCAAGACGACTGTGTTGTGAGGGCCCACCTGGGCCTCTTTCGGCCCGCTCTCGTTCTCGATTCATCTCTCTCTGGCGCTGAGGTAATGGAACGTATTTACCCTCCCTGACAAACAAAAAAACACAAAGGCCATCTAACACATGCGGATTACTTAAGTTAGGAAGCACAAGTACAGCCATCAGGAAAGAAATGTCTCAAAGTCTTGCACACATTGAGTAGCTGATGTGAAGCTCTCTGTCCCGTCTGCTCCCTCAATAGGGGAAAGCTAACAGGTTCAAAACTCAATGTGCTCTGGTACATCTCCCAGACCAAACTCTCAGGAGCAGCAACTCTCACCTGCTGCTGGCTCCAGGACTGTCTCGGCCTCTTTCGCGCTCTCTGTCCCGGGGGCTCTCACGACCCTTCTCCCGATCGTTGCCATCCCTCACCACAGCGCTATATTTGTCCTCCTCACTTTTGGTCTCCTCATTTTCCAGGCCCACGCGATGGCGATACTGGGGGCTTGATTCGATCTCACTGGCCAGGCGGGCAGCGCGCGCCTCCCTCTGCCGATAGTTCTCAGAGTTGCCTCTCTCTAATGGAACTCTAAGAAGCCAGAAAGATAATCAGACGGGGGGGGGGGGGAAAGCTGTTGAGATGTTTGTTGTATTTGCATCTTGCTGTTGAAACAGTTAAAACATTTAAAAGAAGACGATGGCCATTTTCTTTACCCCAAACATCTATTCTTTCTGGTACAGCATACTGATTGGAAAATTAGACAGAATACATCCATTTTCCATATGTACAACCAGTTTATATCTTAACATCCCCCCAAAAAGTTGGCTTCATAGAAAATACAGAAGGCCACATAATTTGTTTTTCAATCAATTCACAAAGATAAAACAAAAACATGTGTTTCTTGCAGCTTTTCACTTCTTTAAACAAAGTGTAGGTAAAATGTCCAAAGACTGAAATGCTAACTTACGTATACATGGAGAGGCTGGAATCATAGGTCGAGGTGACTCCATATTTAACTTCATTGTAACGAAACATCTCATTGGCATCCCAGCCATTAGACTGACAAAATAAATACAAATATGAACATTAGATTACAGAAAATATCATACATAACAGCATTCCGAAAAATTTTATGGTAGAAAAACTCACAGCATCATTTTCTAGATCATAACTCTCTCCATTGCTGTCTCCTCCATCCCACTTCTGTAAAATCTTCTCTTTATGTTCTCCGTTGATGCGGCTAGAGCTGATGGCTGTGTCTGTGAAGGTGTCTAACGACATCGGAAAGCAAAAAAGAAACGTCATACAGAGCAAGTCCAAGCTGGAGCAGAAAGTTCACATTTGTGTGCTATTGGTTGAAACAGAACTTTAAATCACACCCCAAAGGGAAATAAAGGAAACATCACCCCGGTCTTAATCACACTATTATACTCCCCACATTATTTAAACTAATGGAAGTTATCGATTAGTCACAGCACTTGAAAAACTACTCAATAAGAATCAGTGAAGTCTTGAGTATCAACATAAACCAATGCTCCCTTTTGTGACCAAAAACAATGTCATCATACACTGAAAGCCTGAGGGGAGCTTTGCTCCTACTGTCCTCACTGTGCACAGGTTTGTTTGTACCTCTGGTGGCATAGTTTAGGTCTACATCTCTGCAGATCATCGTGACTAAATCTGAGGGACTGAAGATCATGGTGTCAGTAATCTCCTCTCTCCTTGGTGGAACTGAGGTTGACCCTCCATCCTCACTCCGTTTGTGTACAGCGTCCACTGCCAGTTCACACTAAATTGTGAATAAAGAAGAAATTTGAAGAGCCCCACAGATTTTAAACCGACTACATGATTTGCATGATTGCTTAGTGTTTTAACAATGTTGAAGTATGACGTCCATGCTTTTTTGCTCAAAATGTCTTACCCGAGAACTCAGAGTTTTGAAAATGCCTTCAAATACGCTTCCATTTTTCACTCTTATGTCACATGTTGACCCCTGAAAGAGAAACAATTGATCCATTAACCTTATCTGAACAGAAATAGTAACTAATTGTTTTACAGATAAATTAACACATCAAAAACTGTAGAAAAAACGCAGCAAACTGAATAGAAGAGTGTCTATGCACCGTCCTCTCAGGGATGTGTGGAAAACTCAGAGGCATAGAGCGGAGATCAGCCCAGTGTATTTGGCAGTCAACCTCCCATACAGAAACGACAAGAGAGAAAACTTCACCAAACGCCTACAACGATGGATGGAAAGTGTTCAACATTCCAAGCGGATTACAGTTCTCTGCCAAGTGCAGAGGAAGACTGGGGATCCAGGCCAGTAAAAGAACAGACTGGAGTTGAACAAGTCCCAAAGACTGTCTGCCGTGCTCACTTCCTTAAACTCAAGCCAAAAGAATGAAGAATCTCTTAAAAAAGGAGAGTAAAATAAATGCATCTAAAGATTCTATTGTACACAGATTTTCTTTTGTGAATGTGTGCATCAGGTTGGGATTGCACCATTAGCCTAGATCACACAGTTCTACTGTGTACAGTCACAAGAAGGATATACCAAATCAAATATGCCGAGTTGTGAGATTTCCACACTATTCCTGACAATAGCTGCTTCAATGTTTCTTGCACTGAACAAGTCATTTCCTAGAAATGTGTCCGGTTCTATAGTGTTGTTTTCTTTTTTTTTTTTTTTTACAGAATGAGCCCAGTGAAGTTTAATAATAAAAATCAGCTTTAAGTAGCTACAACCCATCTTATTGTACAATTTTTGGTCACTTTTGATGGTGATATTTTTTAGAATTATCATTGCATGTGTAGCTAAAATATTGACAATGAGCAAAATGACTTACCACTACAGCAGTGAGGAAATGAAGCATTCTTGCATTGTTGTACACACCCTCAAACACCTAAACAGAGGAAAACACAAACGACATATCAAGATAAAGTGCCATGCTTTATATGAAGTAAAACAGTCAAAGTGTTGCAAAAAAATAAAGACAAAAAGTTTTGCTGAGAAATGTAACTGAAGAAATGTTTACCCCTGAGGTGAGAAAAGAAAAACTGCAGTGGAGAAACATTTGAATACTTCCTTTCTTCAGCCGATCTAGTTTTACTGAAGCACTTGACTGAATACAAATGTTACTGCTTTTATCAGTTTAATTTCCAATCACAAAAACTTACAATTGACTTACAGTCTTGTATTTCATATCAATGATGTTTGTAAATAAAGGCCTAAATCAGCCTTATGAAAACATAAGGCTTTTCATAAGGCCTTATGCCTTATGAAAACATAAGGCTGATTCTCTATTCAGAATGTTTTTTTAAATGGGTATGACAATGTCTTTGTTTCCCGTTTAAGTTTCAAAACAGTAGAATACTCACAGGAGATGATTGGAATGATGGCTTCGCAGAGTTTCGGTTCCTGTAGAAGAAAGTAAATAGTTTCTCTTCAAAGCCTGTTAGGTCACTGTCATTCCACAGGCACACAACACAGCATACGCACATTAGAAAAGTAAAAACGCATTATAAGACTTTGGAGCTTTAAATCATCCTCCTCAACAGATTTGCCACCTTTTAGATTGAGGAAGTGCTAGATTAAGGTCTGCTGTATAAATACTGAAAGTAAAACTAAAATGGTAATCGTTTTCAGTAAGCAAGAAATAACTAATTAATATGTGTCTTATTTGTTATGGCTTATTTGTATCTTTCAATAAAGGTGATTCAGAGCAATAAGTAACCGTGTTGCTGCCAGCTATATCTGGGGAAACAAAACAAAGGGGGACGCTGTAAAGATGTCAGTAAACACAAACTTTTCTTAAGGTAGGAGTAAGGGATTAGTTCACACAGTCCCTAAAATGCATGCTGTGAGACATAGCTCGTTAACAGGTTTTTACCCCCAAAAAACTACATTGTAAAATGATGACGCTTTCAAATATTACTCTTTTCTTCAACATTGACAGGCCAAGTAAAATTAATTTCGCCTTATGCCGATTTGCTGTCCGTAGCTTTTACCAACTTACATCTACCTCATTGATTCGCCTGAGTACCCATTCATCATTCTGGTTGGTCCACTGTTTTTGTCCGTCAAAAATAAGTTAATCTCATTGGTCCAACCATGAGCTCAAATTCCTTTGTCACTCCCACTAGTAACATGGTCCTTTAACCGGTAGGCCTTGCACTCACAGTACAATCCCCGAACTGTCCTAAGAGGACTTCCCCCCTCACTTACCTTCCCGACGGTGTCCTGCTGCCGCTGTTGATGCCACTGACTGGGGAAGACATACCGCCCGGGCCCGATGTTCCGTTAGACGCTTTTCTCCCGCCTGAGCCGGGTTGTTGCTGTTGTTTCAGCATTGCGAAGCACAAGGCTTAGACAGTAGCAACTGTAAGTTAACTTATTAAAAGTGATACTGCCTGAAGTCAAGCTGCTTTAAACGCCAACTATCTTTAGCAAGATCACCTGTCCTACGGAGAGCAGAGCCGGTGTAACCTCAAAAAGACCGGCTACTGTAGTAAATTAACCCCACTCGCCTTGTGGCCTAAAATCTTAATCCACCTTTTTCGTTAATAAAAATTAAATACGAAGTATGAATTATGTAAATTTCAAGAGACTATCTACTTTGCAATCCCAGAAATTATGTCAAACCAAGCAAGTTATCAAAGGACACAAGTTTCCGTGTAAATATTTAGCAATAGCTGGCTAATTTAGCATTAGCTTTGATCCTCAAGCTCACTTCGGGCGCTTTCTCTCCGGGATTTACTCTCTTCCCTCTTTCTTGTCGCCTTTAATCCAGCACCGCTGACTCTTTCGTTAAAAAGTATAGTCTTGGCGTTATTGTCAGTTGCCTTAGGAGGTTGAGATTTTCAGGTTTCTTACTGAAAACCTGCTGCGGTCGGTCAACACCACCTTACGGTAGGCTCACTTGACTCAATCCGCGCGCGGCTGACTGGAAACCGGCTGAAAGGGGAAGGGGGAGGGGGCGTGTACGTGCGCGTACGCTCTCACTTTGTACTGATCCGTGTACGTGGATTTAGTTGGTCGTGGAATTGATGTTCCATCGTTTCTCCTATAATAAATAAATAAATAAGAGTAGAAGCGATCTGCTGTACACGTGGCAGAAACAAAAAAATAATAATCTGAATGCAGACTAGCACTAACACTTGCAAATATAACCTTTCTGTTCTATCTTCGAAATGTTTCTATGTTTATATAATTTCACTTTTTTTCGTGAAAAACTGTTACGACAAGAGAAAAAAGAAAACAAAAATTGCATAAATTTTTGCGCCTGTGCAGCAGCTTTTACGGCTACGAACTACAAACAGTATGGCGGCCTCCATAAAGAGCGTTAGTGTTACATAGCAGCAGCTTTGTCATTTTAACGTAGATCTTCATCTATCTAAAACTCAATTTCAACTGCCAGCAGTCTTGAAAGCAAAGAAAATACATGATTTATCTTGTGTCAAAAAACCGTAAGTGTCTCTCATAGTTAGTTATTTCCACTGTGTACGCAGTGTTTGTTACGTATTTATACGCACGTTCAATATGTGACATGTTGGTGTCCTGTATTCAGAGTTTTCGATGTTTTAATACCAGTTATTCTTTCAATATTATCTCTGTCGTCAGTTGAAATGACTGACGGTGAGATTAATTTATGTAACTTGTCTTAAATAATGAGGAAAGTGTGTTGGACTAAAATATTTTTATCTCTCTTGTCTTCTAACTTAACTACCTGAAAATCCGACACAATTTGGAGAGAAAGCATACATGTCGTTGTAATTTTAATCCAAATGTCTCAGTAAAATGGTTATTTCACTGTAGACTATGAGTGTGCATCTAACCGTTTGCTGTCCTACCATTCAGTGAGCATATTAGGGAACCACATTGGCATCAGGATGTCAGATTTGTCTCATGTAACAAAAGTTTAATTTGTATTAACTTAAGATGTTCGTATATATATAGGGGAGCATATGGGGCAGTTTCGGAAAAACAAATTGTGTTCAAACTTCTAACTATTTAACTTGGACTTTCACAGGTGAGCGTTGCACATGTTGACAAAGAAGCTTCCACCCGTGCAGAGTTTTCTGTTGCTGTTCTCCAGACGGGTCAGCCACCTCACTAGACAGCAGTATGATGTCATCGTGGTGGGTGGGGGTCATGCTGGAACCGAGGCGGCAGCAGCCGCAGCCAGAGTTGGAGCTAAAACACTCCTGGTCACACAGAAGATCCAGACTATTGGTGAGTAGACAGGCTGAGTTACAGGAAAACTTCCCCTACATAAACTAAAATCTTCTTCTATTTGATTCTTTTTTTTGTCCTCTCTTGAAATACATTCATCTAGGGGCGCTGTCCTGTAACCCATCCCTTGGGGGAATAGGGAAGGGCCATCTTGTGAGGGAAATCGATGCTCTGGATGGACTGTGCGGTCGCGCTGGGGATTGGGCTGGAATTCATTTCTCTGTTTTGAACCGCCGAAAAGGACCTGCTGTGTGGGGGCCGCGAGCCCAGTTGGACCGCCAGCGTTACCGGGAATTTATTCAGGTGTTACACAATAGAGGTATCTTTTTAGTCATCATTAATATAAGTTTCGGATTAACTGGCTTTCCTGCTCTTGTTTGTTCAGTCTGAGCTGTTGTCCACTCCCGGCCTGACGGTGTTGGAGGGCTCAGTGCAAGAGCTGCATGTAACGGAGCCAAGTCCAGAGGAGCCTGGACGCCACAGAGTTACTGGGATATGTTTGGGTGGGCATCACATGACAACTATCAACCATTTTTGTCTTCCTCTACCATAATTAGACATTTCACCACTGTTTCTGCATTGTTTTTTGCCTTCATCAAATCAGTTTATAAGATTTTAACTCAAATCCTCACGTGGATTAAAATGTGTTTTTAACAAATCTAGACGTACTTTCGTGACTGATCCAGCAATCCATTTCAAGGGTTTCTCAAACTGATAAGGAAAGAAAAAGTAGTCACTTAATAACTTTACAGCTTTTGTTTACTTCTCTCATTATCAGCAGATGGCAGCCCACCAATATCAGCCAGTTCAGTGGTTCTTACCACTGGTACCTTTTTGTGTGGTTCCCTCTTTGTGGGCCAAACGACATCCCCTGGAGGTCGTATTGGAGACGCTCCATCAAGCGCTGGGATGTCACAAATACTGAGGGAGAGACTGGACCTGAGGATAGGTAGATTGAGGACCGGTACCCCCCCAAGGATTGTAAAGGATTCCGTGGACCTCCACTTGGCCCAGCTTCACCCCCCTGACAGCCATCCAACGCCGTTTAGCTTCATGAATACCCAAACAAGCTGCAAGGTGATGTACTTTTCTCATTGTTGGGTCTATGCATTTTCACATTTTTGGAGAAAAATGTCTGATTATGGAACCCAACATACTGCAGCCAGAGGACCAGCTGCCCTGCTATCTGACCTACACGACCCCTGGTGTTGATAAAGTGGTAAAGGAGAGTCTTCATCTCAACTGTCACATACAAGAAGACACCAAAGGACCAAGGTACTCTCATATTCTATTTAGACAGATGTTAGATCTCGTACAGTGTTTTAAGGAGTAACTCTGCACTCGTCTCTCGTAGATACTGCCCCTCTATTGAATCAAGGGTGCTGCGCTTTCCAGGCCGGAGTCATCAGGTGTGGCTGGAACCTGAGGGGGTGACCTCCAACCTTTTGTACCCACAGGGTCTCTCTATGACCATGCCCCCTGACATGCAACTCCGCCTCATCAGAGAAATCCCCGCCATGCACAGAGCAGAGATCCACACACCCGGTACGCGAAATCCTGTTTGGTCTGTCCTGCAGAACATAAGAGCAGGACGTAAATAAGTTGGATTGCTGCTGAAAAGTGCTGTTTGTTTTTGGATAATGGAGCTCGACGTCAGATTGTAATGCGAATGTCTTGTTTTTTTATTTTCAGGTTATGGCGTTCAGTATGACTTTGTGTGTCCCACTCAGCTGAGTCCCTCTCTACAAGTGAAAAGCACTCAAGGTCTCTTCCTGGCCGGTCAGATCAATGGAACAACGGGGTACGAGGAGGCTGCTGCACAGGTAGCTGCTGCTTCTGTCTGTGGATCGGAAAATTATGATATATCCTTTGAACAACATATTGACAGCCTGTAATATTCTGTTAAATACCAAAATACATACATAACGGGTTACATGAGAGAATTCCCTTTATTATTATCTATAGTTGCAAAACTGAGGCAAGTTCAACCGAGTTTCTGACCACCAATCTGCTCTATGGTCACTTAGGGTTAGTGTTTCCAAATATTGGAGAAACAGATGCCTTTTCATCCGGGTTAACTATTAATGCTTTGGGCTGGAGAGAAACTTTATCATTACGTCTATTATTGTCATTCCACATCTGTTTTGTAGCTGGAAAACATGTTGTAATTTTAGCCTTTAGAGTCACTATAATTTTCAAACAGTTCTGCAGTCATTTGTCTAACAGCTTTCTAATATTATTGTATAAATGTTGGAAGTAACATTACACCGTAAACAGTTTGTAGTCTTATAGGCATAACCTTTGGCTTGTCTATTAATGTTACAAAGCAAGGCAGTGTAAAGTTGTCATACCCTTCATCAGCCAGTTACACAGAGATCTATTTGTTAAGATTATCCCTGAGGAGAACACTCTGTCTGTGCAGGGCTTGTGGGCAGGGGTAAACGCTGCCCGCTGGGCACTCTCCATGCCTCTGGTGGCGCTGTCTCGAACAGAAAGCTATATTGGAGTTCTCATTGATGATCTGGTGAGCCGGGGCGTGACCGAGCCTTATCGCATGTTCACCAGCCGAGCGGAGTTTCGAACCTCCCTAAGGCCGGACAACGCAGACCTCCGCCTGACGCTAAAAGGTAGCTCCTATTGAAGACCTACTGTTTGTTACTCTGCCATTCGTGATAAAGGGGCTCCGGTTACTAAGATTATTGTTCTAGCTGTGTTGATGCATGATCTCAAGCTTTAAGGCGTGTATTTTTCTTATGTTAGGATTTGAAGTGGGATGCGTGTCCTCCTTACGCTACAAGGAGGCCGTAAAAGTGAAGGACCGTCTTCAGGAGGCAATGGCGACTCTCGAGACTCTCACGCTGTCCACGGCCAGCTGCAGGAAGAAGCTGCCGGACATTGGTGTCAGTGAAAACAAGAACAGCTCGCTCAGGTGAGTATGGAGCATTTGGAATCCCAGCTGCAGTGGGACACGTCTTTACCTTCATGTCAGAGCACAGCCACACCATCTCTGATTCTTTTTCAGTGGAATGGAACTGCTGCAGTACAAGGACATGTCCTTTGAAATGTTGGCATCTGTTTTCCCCGAAAGTCTATCACGTTACATGGAATTCTCACAACGGCTCAAGATAGAGGGTAAAAGTCTTATAATTGCTACAAAACAACTCTGTTATCCTCACTCATTGCCACAAACCTGTTTCTTTGTTATTGGGGTCATTTAATTGTAGTTTAGTTTAGTTTTCTCATGACCTTTTTCTGTCCGTTGTGTAGCTGTGTACAAGCCTCACTGTGACCTAAACAAGAAAGAAATTGAGAGAATTCAAAAGGAGGAGAACATGGCTCTGCCACAGGACATCGACTACTTCTCCCTGCCGGTGTCTATGTCTAAGGAAGTCAGAGAGATCCTGGACAGAGTTCGACCAAGCACTGTGAGTCAGTGCACGTGTCTAAAGAAAGAAAATATTACATTAAGGTGGTAATTATTGGTTTTCTTGAACTGCAATGTTCCCTCTGCTCTCTCCTCCCAGCTGGGTTCTGCCACTCGTCTGGAAGGTGTGACCCCTGCTGCAGTGGTCGCTCTCTTTAATTATGTTCAGGTTACTGGTAGAAAGGAGAGAAAACGACACAGAAACCAGCAAGAACGAAAAGAGGAAGAAGACGAGGAGGTGTGCAAAAGAAATGCATCTTTACCTCAGTGACAGATTGACTTGCAAGTTTTGTAAAAATGTATGTATTTTTGTAAATCAAGCAAAAATAAATTATGACATATTAGAATGATACATAGCATCGTAGTCTATATAATCTACTGTAAGACTTCAGTTTAAAAGGTTAAACTAAATAAAACTTGAATCAACACAAGAACACTTCCTAAAAATTAACTGAAGGGAACCCAAAACTGTGCAGCTGCTACCAAGTGAAGAATTCTAATCCTGTTAGCAACATGGCTGTGAACAGCATTAAACTCCATGTGACCCTCTCACAGCAACAGCCACTGAAAACAAGGTGGTTGTCCAGCTCGGTGGTGCCTCGAGTGAAGAAGTCAAATGGAAACTTCCACTGCGGCTGAGGCAAGCCCCAGGGGGATTCTGGGTAAACTGTGGTTTCAACAAATGTAACTTCTGTTGTCAGGACGAGAGAGGACGACAGAGGACACTGCAAAATGATACAGAAGCAGATTATTTACTAGATGGGGGGGAAAAAAGCGGGAATGTTTGAGTCTTAGACTGAGTATGTGTGTTTCTGTACCTTTACAGTAGGACACCTGAACAGGTACTTAGCTCCTAGGATGTAGCTCTGTGGAAGTTCAATGAAACCTTGGCGGGCCCACAGAATTTGGATGGACAGATAGTCTGGGAGAATGCAGCCTGATCCACAGGATTCCTGAGAGAAAGTTTTTAAAAAATCTGTACACCACGTGGGAACCGCATGCACAGCTTATGTGATTTGATTTAATTACACTTATAAAATCCAAAGTAGTCTGAATTTTTCTTCAGAGCAACTCAGAGGGCTGGTTTACTGACGCTCAGACAGATTTAATGGTTTAACTTAAATATTTCATAGTCCAGTTTTAGCTTACCTGCTGGCTAACGGGACAGTCCTGCAATATGACTCTGGTCCAGTCTGGCTGCGCACCCGAGTTCATGGCAATTTCATTAAGGACCGTGTTTCCGAGCAGGACCCTGTAGATCTGTGAGCGCAGCTCGGAACAGTTACCAGCTGAGGAACTAGATACCACAGGGAGAAAAAAAAGGATGTACTGTATTTCCTGAATAATGGGATTGATTTTCAACAAGTCAAGCAGGACGACAGAGGCAATTCGAATGATGAGAGCTCACCTAAATGTGCAGCCAGTGATTGTGTTGTGCGGGAAGAGGACTGGTGCTCTTCTGCGAGGATCAGAGGAACATTCACCACCTGGTGACAGCCCCAGTGATGTCAACTGACTCGTTGTCAAGGAACCACAATGAGTCGTTGATTCAAAGTTTGCCCTAAGAATAAAAAAAACTACAAACACTTTTTTACAAGGATACAGGCTGCACTTCCTCATCAAAGCGACCAATAACAGATGAGCCCACTCTAAGTCCAACGGCAGCTGTGACCCCTTCTGGAGAGGCTCTGGGTGTAGCTAGCTGAAAGAAACACAACATTACTGTCACTGTTTGAATTCATATCTTATTCGGGGCTTTATATAAATTCTCCAGCTCCTGTCGCCAACCTGGAAAATGACAGAGTGTGTCTGCAGCAACAGCTGATCAAACTCAACATCTTCCAAGTCCACGTTGACTGTTGCGTATGTGAGGTATCCCCTGCCGGTGTAACCTATGACAAACTCCACCTGCACAAACCGTCAGAAAAAGCCGGGCTGAGTTTGAAGCTTCAGTATACGCTTACATACGTGTGTTTTCACACACGCATTTGGATAGTTACCTTTTTCACAACGTTCCTACAGGAGTTATTATGCTTTGTTGGAGCAGGCCAGTCAGCCTGGGGAGTTACTGGTACCTAAAATCAGAATATGTAGATCATTTATCTTTGTGACACAGAATACAGTATGTCTGATCTTTTTTTTTCCTGCTAGATTTGACCTTATTTTCTGACGAACGCTGACTGAATGTCTATGTCTAAAAATCTATGTCTAAAAATCTCTGAACATCAAGCTTCAAAAGAAGAGTTTACATCAAATAATCTCTACTTTCTAAAGGACGAAGAAAAATATTCAATGTAAAAAGAATAGCTTAACATCTAAAAGACATATTTATCCTCACACATTTCAACATTTTGAAGTGAAACTGGAGATTTAATCAAACCAGTAACCCACTCACCAGTCCGTCTAATGGCGGCACCATCTCAGCTGTCGGAATCTGAAACAAAAAGATCATGTTGGTCCATCTGTAGTAACTTTTAAAAGTTTTTATGTACTGGAAAGACTGTAAAAGTTTAAGTGTGCTTGTTTACCTTGAATAGACTCAAATCAGAGTAGTAGGAGCCAGCATTCAGACTTGGATCCGCGGTGCATGACTGAGGGGTCACCATACGGGTACAGGACAGAGACATGGACCTCAAAAACTCTACAAGTAAAAGAAAACACATAGCAATAAGAAGGGGATTTTTAGCAGGTAATATTGTTGGGAGACGCAGGCAACCCCCCCCCCCCCCCACCCTCCCGTAGAACTTCATGACTAAAACAATACTCGAGTTAATGCCAGTTGATATAATGGTGTAAAAAATAAGGTTGCTAAATTTGCTTAGGATTTAAATTGTGTTCTAAATAGATTTTTCAGTTTGTTGGAATTCCTATGTCTCCTGAAAGCATCATGGCAGAGGGATCCCTTCAGCTATCTGTCACTTACGGTTCAACACCCAGGTCAAGCCGGGCCTGTCATGCTGGTACAAGCCTTAAAAGTTTTAAATGAAAAAATCTGAAAGTGTATAAAGACAGTCTGAAGGGGAAGGGGAAAAAAATAAAAAAATTGAATGAGATGGCTCAATAACAGCTTCTTTCAGCATTGTGACCAAATTTTCCTTTCAGTCCATTTACTTTTGGGTTATTTTGAAATAGCTAAAGACCAAAATGAAAAAGTAATCATCCTTAAAATATTAAAGAGGTGCGTCAGCTATGACTAAATGCCTTTTGGAAATCAGGTCAGGTTTTACTCCCAAATCTATTCACAGTAAGAGAAATTTGAACTAGGTGTACAGAAACGTATGTGAATTACTGTTCTGGAGACAAAAAGGCCAGGGTTTAAAAAAAAAAAGCTTATTTAGGAGGAAGTCTCTAGTTGGCTGGAAACAATTTTACTTTTCATGTGGATTGAACTCACTTGCAGGATTGCGGTTAAAGCATAAAGCAGAAGCCGCTCCAGGGGAAGGCTGACGGAGGACGCCACGCACAGAGGAGTTGGAGAAATATGTCTGGATGACATCATCAACCTACAAGATTGTGGTCCATTTATAAGTCTCTGCTGTCAAATCTTCAAGGATTTCAGTGAACAGGCATCTTTAAGCAGTGATTACCCTGTAAAAGTCTCTGCTGTGTCTGATGTGCGTCTGTCCAGGAGCCGAGAAGTGATACGAGTCTCCTAAAGCTGGAAACTGAAGAGGCACTGGGACAGGCGGGAGTTCTTCTACTCCTGCAAGGTCAAAAAATGCACACATTTTTCAGAGAATTTGTACAGGGACACATGTTGCTTTCGTTGATGTTCGATGATCAATTCCTAATAATATTTAAATGTTTATTCACCTTCAGACCGGACACAAAACAAAGAGTCTGTCACAGTGATGAGTGATGAGTCCACGTTGGCCCTGAACATGAGCCACTTCTCAATGCAAACTCCTGATCTATAAAAACAAATACAGGCTTGAGCTTCTTATTCATTCTGCACAATTTATGCAATCCATGTAGAGTAAAAAAAAAAAGAAATAAAGAACAAAGAAAAACATGCATGATCTCTTGTGGACATCCAGTGAAGACGGTACTCAAGTTTGCTACGCCACAGTCAGTGTTGTCACAACAGCAGCCGATGTCGCAAAAATCTGGGGTTAGATTGCAGAGGCAACCTGAGAAAACAAAGGCAGTTACTTGTGATAGTCAAAATAATATTTAATGTTTTTAACAAAAGTCAAAGAGTAGAGAGCACATAACCCAATATTAAGTCCTACATGTATAACCATAAAGAGAAAAAACGAGCCAGTACAATGCAATAAAAAACAGAATGGCAGCAATGATATAAAAGTAACAGACATGAGAGATGATAGGTTTTTAAACAGCAGACTGTTGGAAAAAGTAGATTCAAAAGTTTGTGTCACTGATTTGCCTTGAAACCTTTTATAAACACATGTCCTGTGAGGAAAAAACAGCTGGAACAAGGTATTTGTTTTGTATTAGTCCTGTTCAATTCAGGTTGAAGCTACCTTCTGCAGACGTCTCTGGCTGAACGGTGGTGGCAGACGGAGGCTCGGTGGCAGGTGAAGTGGACCCTTCAGGCACGGATGGCGTGGCGGTTATGAACGGGTCCACAGTGGGGAGGAGAGAGACCTCCGTGGGGTCCACAGCCTCCGCAGCTCTGTGACCTGGTGTGACTGAACTGAAAGGTTCTCCATTTGTTGGGCTGAATTTTTGGGTGGAGGTTTCTCCTCGGTCGGTGGTAGCGTGAACCAAATCTCCACGCAGGATAACGAGTACGTGAAGTGACCACCAACTCCACAGAATCATTTCGTCAACAAAAACAAAGCCAGATAAACGTTAACGGCAAAGTTCTCCATACGTTCTTTTCGCGCCTCACTCTTAAAATACGTTTGTATAAAACAATATTGAATATCTTAAAAAAACAGATGGATTGTTTTCAAATTAATCTAAATAAAGTCAAACGTAGCTTCCGCATTTTAGCTTTGTGTTACCAAGGAAGTTGTCACGGAGACTTCCGTTTCTATGGCTCTGTTACCGTAAAACATGAAAAAGTGAAGCAAATATTTTTTTAAAATATTTTTTTATTTTACCGACACCTCATTGAGTTTGCAGCCAATTATTATTATGGTTTATTAATATCACTGAGGGAAACTCTCAGACAAGATTGTGGAGTTGATCAAACAATTAAATACAACAAGGCACCAAAACCTGTTTTTAAAAAAGGACAAACAATCAAGCAAATGAGCAAGTATTTACATTTCGAATGTTGTTAAATTTGACCTATTCAGAAAAGGACATCATTTGTAAGATCTTGCAAGAAATCTATTAAAATGATCTTTTAACTTTTCAAAATTCAACTGCTGACGGGCTTCTAATCTGTTTTTCATATATTTCATACTCAGTGACAGAGTGTGGGGTAAAAAGAAAAGATTATTTTCTCACAATTTCCCGCTGTATGTGTGGTGGTCCCCCTCTCCAAACGGTGCCACAACCAGTTTAAGAACCACTAATTAGATTTCCTCTGTGCTCCTCCAGAGCTACAGAAATCATTACAAAATTGTTTCCACATGCTCAGTAGGGCCTGTGGCTCCAGTAAGAGTATTACATTTAAAGCAAAGGGGCAAAGATGATGTTGATACATGGCGATTCATCATAAACATACTACTATGGTTTAGAATAGACAGATGGATACTTTTAAGCCAAATAAAGAATGTGTTTGGAATTGCATTCTAATTGGTTGAAACCACAAAACAAAAAGCCGACCTGGCTGCTGAGCGAGGCTCACAGCATGTAAAAAAGGTGAAGGACACCGAGGCGCTTATCTGTACCAATGGCTATCTTTTTGTTTCCATGCAAGCTTTAAACCTATAACCGGAGAAATGAAAAGCATGGCTCTGATCCCAAGTTTATTCACTATTACTCTCTCTTTTAATCTTTAATGGTTTTCTGCTGATGTTTTATTGATGGATCTCATTTGACTGCTGTTTCCTTTCCAGAAATACAGACTTGCTCTGGTGGAGCCGCGCTGCTGGAAGCAAGGAGGAACAAATATGACCTGGTGCTGGAGATTTCTACAATCATTAGGTGCAAATGCAGAAGTCTAAATCACTCTTCGCAGGAAGGGGCATGCCTAACTTATTCAACCTACATCTTGATGAGAAAAGGTAATAAACATTCAATTTCTTGTTTTTCACAGGAATGTTTATCATAACCATTATATGAGTGATGTTGAGGGATTGTGTGTACCACTAAACCTGCCCTCATATTCAGATTTTTTTTCCTGTCTGGAAATGCTCACACAAACACCATGTCTTGTAGTTTTGATAATCATACAATTATTTTATCTAAAATATTCCTAAAATGTTTCCATTCTATCATTTCAGTATCAGCACAGTATTTGTATCTAATATATCTTGTGTTTTTCTCAGTTCTGTGAACATTTATTGAAAAGAGCAGATAATTATGATACAGTTTAGGTTTAAAAAAAGGTGCTGAAAGCATGTTCTTTAGCCACAGCAATGCATCCTGTGCCAGGTCAGCTTTTACTGTTTACTAATGCGTTTGCATAAAACTTGCATGTGCTTCTGCTCCTTCTTTCAAGGATATGACACAGTTTGATGGTAAATAGATATAACAGACGCTATGAAGTAGGTCAGTTCATGCTTGAAAATATTTAAACCATCAGGACTAATTAACTATAACATCCATAATGTAAATCTTTATAAATCACAAAGATCAAAAAATTAACAAGTTTTTGGAAGCCTCTGTTCGGGTTTTAACATTAAAAATTGGCATATTAACAAAGTAGATATATGAAAATAATGGATTTAGCAAGAATCTATAACAAATATATAAACAGAAAAAAATAATATGTAAGAAAAATAATATAATAAGCTTTGTGAATTTTCTTAGAATTGGTTATAATTACTGAAACATCCTTAACACAGAAAAGAAAAAAAAGTCAGACCCTTTAGTAACCTGAAGGTTTTCTTAATGAGCCTTTGGGAAATGTGCTTCATTATATGGTCAAGAATCTAACCTGTTGAAAGAATTCCCAGCATGCTCTTTAAGGGTTCCAAAAGCTGTTGACCTCAGATGGTTGTTTGGAAATAGCATCCCATTAGAACAGCAGAAAATATTTGGAACAAAAACCGAAAAAATGACACTTTACAAAACAATATTCAGTCATAATAACCAGAAAATCAAACCCAGCAAAAAAGACAAGATTACAAAAAACACTACAACAAACCTAATCTGTTAAATAACTCCACATTTCCCAGAATACAATTTGTTCCAAAAAACTGAAATCTTAAGCATTAAAAAAAGGAAAACATGGAATTTTTACGAGTGAAATTCTGAAATACGTCAAAATCCTAAGCAGAACGCCCAACGGCCAAAACTAAACAAACCAGAATGAAAAACACAAATATTAGAATTAAATAAGAAATACATTTCTTCATTAAATACATTCAGAAGACTCTCTTCTAGCATAGTATTTTTAAAGAAAATTACGCTGAACATTGTTGTATGCTGTGAGACCAATCAGGGTTGTTTTTGCAGTGGATGTTGTGCTCTGTGAACTACACATTCCAGACACGATCAAAGACACAATGGAGCCTGTCGTCTACATCTGATCCACAGGACATGTTAAGCAAATAAGATCACGCATGCTGTTTTACACAGCCAATGCATCGCCGCTAACATCTCTCACGCAATGGGTGTGAGACTTGCAATTCCTTTTCACATGGTCTCACGGTTTACATTCACTTTGCCACACTGTGACAAAAAACAAATGCATAATCCAGAAAAAATGGAGAATGAGACAAAAAAAGACATGGCAGAACAACACAGAAAATGTGATGTATCACAGACAACCGAAGACATTCTCAGTTATCCATCTTTAAAGTTTCCCTCCTCATGTTAGGCTAACACCCGTTAGGGTGGTTGATTTGCCTTGGCCTCTGAGGGGACAGACACAGGAGCACATTTGCAGCCATGCTACAAAGTGACGTTTGTGCGTTTTGTCAATAATTGAATACAATTTTATCCAGCTGCATAATGTCTGGACATCATGGACAAAAAGCTTTGAAAAAAAGATAATCAGATGTTCTTATTTTCTTTTGGCTTTGTCTGGACATTGTGAAACAAACAGCACAGAAATCCAACGTCTAAAATAATAGAGGCTTCAGTAATAACTCGGCAGCTTTTGTTGTTAAGTTTGTTTGTTTTTTAGATCTAAAGAAAGCCACAAAATTGGAGTAGCTGATTGTTTTTTTCCATAACTGACATACCTTAAAAAAAGAAGCTTTGCTGCATCTGAACAAATTGTGAAATCTCTGTCCTTTGTTTCACACAGTGGTCCACCTCTGATTTATTTTCTGTGTAAACATTGTTTTTAAAGACAGGATATTATAAGTGGAATGTAAACAGTTGCTCCTAGACATTCAAATCTCTAAAGACATTCAGAAGATTGTGGGGCTGCTTTTGTACAGCCTAAATGTTCTTTCTTTGCAAACCAACAGAGAATGAAACGACAGCAGCACATCTCTGCCAAGCACTCTTTTATTACAATTTGGTCAGCTTTTTGTTGACTTTGGGTCCAAAGGTGTGTTTTTAGATGGGGAGTTTCCTGTCTTTCACATTTGAAAAAATGGTGATCTGTTTTTCCTTTTAGTTCAGAATACAGACTCGACTTTACAGCCACATCCCTGTGATACAACCATTGTTTTTGTTAGAAAAAGAGAAAGAAAAACAAGCATCCATAATGAACTAACACTGAGTTAAACGAGAAAAGTTTTTAAGCAAGCAGATTAAATGTTAATCCATCTCTTGTGCATTCTTTGTGACTATAGCTCACCTCCCAGTGGCTCTTTCAAGACCTTCCCTTGTCCCCTCCTCAAATTACAGAGGAGGCTGTTGAGGAAGTTATGAGAAAAAGCAGAATTCATACATAACTGGCAATGTTACATAAGGGCACTTTAGTGTAGCTCTGCCTGTGCAAGTTCCAAATATTGCAGAGTGATAAGAAACTGGTAGAAGCACTCAGACGGTCGTTTTTTTAGGATAGAAAGAGTGTGAAAGGAAGCGCCTTTTGAAAGATTGTAGTACTTAGATTTTTTCAGGGATTTAAGAAATAACTTTGAGTTTTGTTTGTTTTTCGGGAGAACCTACTGACAGATTATTACTTTTAGATTCAGGTTTTAGGGAGGGATTACGCTCAAAATCACAAGACATCCAGAGGAAAGATTCCTGGACTGCAGGTAACAACCCGACGGGGGAGATAATGGCAATGTGACCAGGAAGTATACACAGTCACTCTGTGCTTGCCAGACGGTCTGGGAGGAATTTTCTGACAGCTGGAATCTAAAGGGAACAGAAGGAAATCAGCCGTGAATGCCGACAAAGCCTGCAGTGAACAGAGCTGAAGTCAAAACGTCTGAGGGGAGTACCGGAGCTATTTTACTAAATTGATTGTCTGGATTTGGATTATTTTTGCTGTAAACTTTTAGCTCTGCCAGTCATGTCAGAAGGGAAAGAGTGGAGCTACAAGGAGGCCATTGAAAAGGCGAGCTCCTCCATCTGTCGCTTCCCTCTTATCCACGTCAAAGGGGTTCCTCTCATGTGCCACATCGCCAACAACTGGGACTCCATCTCAGCTTTTGTTCCTGACCCAGCAGACCTCCTAATTGCCACCTACCCAAAAGCAGGTACTCGAAACAGCTGCCGTCAAACTCAGCTCTACTCATAAAGACTCTGTCTCTCAGGAGGTAAATAACGGTTGACAAGAGGGTCTGAGTTACATGTTACAAGTTGGCTATTATTAGTGAAATATTGATCTAATGAAGGCAGACAGTATTTGCGCTCATATTTGTACTTCTCATGAAGCAGTTTCACAGCGTGAAATGTTTTTGTGATATCTTTCTTGCAGCAGTTGTTTTGAAAAGAGGCAGAAAAAACTGGAAAGTGTAGACGAAATTTAACACTAGCTAAGGAAAAGCGAGAGGAAGTGAAAGTTTATGTGAACTACCAGGCACTTCTCCTTTAAAGCAGCTAAAGGAGACCACGTTTTCCCTCAACTCTGGACAGTTTGCCAGTGTGGTTTTAGTGCTTTCACAGTTTTGCAAGAAATTGTCCTAACTATTGCAATATGTGGTAGTGCGATGGCTGAGGACAGACCTGTGAAAAAGACCGGGTGAGATTCACCACACTAAAACTTTCCTATTTATCCAGTCTGGTGGTCTGATTGTGTCCAGGCACTACATGGACCCAGGAGATAGTCGATCTGCTTTTTCACAATGGAGACGCAGAGGCCTGCAAACGAGCCCCCACACCAGTCCGGAGTCCTTTCCTAGAGATCTGCTCTCCACCCCCAATTCCCTCGGGTACTTATATTTCCTAGACTGTTGAACAGATTTATTTCACATTGGGAGGTGCTCTACATTCTCCAAATAGCTGTGCAAAACCCACAAGTGCAAATCCTGGAGAAACGTTTCCGGAACTGCTTGTTTGTTCCTCTACAATCAGGGTCAATGAGCTCTTAACTTACAAACATTTCTCTGCTCCTCCAAATTAGTCAAACCAATAGACTCTAGGATGATATGTGGAGCTAAAGAATCATGTGCAGCTAGTTGAAATATGAACTGTTTTTTCTTCTGTAAGCACAGATGACCAAATCTGCACCAGAAGATGGAGCTGGAGAGTGATACATAAAAAACAAATGGAGACAATTATGTATCTTTAAATATAGATATTTATGGAATAAAGGGATTATTTTCAAAAGGAGTCCTAAACATTTATCACAATGACCAAATCTGGCTAATGACACTGAAGCTTTAAAAGTGCTATAAAAGTAAATATGTATCTTTGTGCTTTTATGAAAGATGTTTAATTTAAATGAGCTCATATGACAGCAACAAGTAACTAAGATCTGGATCATTTTACACAGCTTCTCCAACAAAGAAAAAACCTGCATTCTCTGTAAACAGTTTCCATGTTAGTTTCTTTCTTTTTCTGCAGTTGGTCCTGAGAACAGGAGTTACACCCACATATATTTAACATTCTAATCATTGAGTTTTGTTACATTGCAAAATGTCTGATAGTATTGTTGTCTTTCATGTCTAAGAGATTAAACCAGCACATCTCACAAAATGTCACTACTTCACTTGAACCTTAACATAGGAGCTCTATAACTCAAATAAAACATGCCTCGACAGCTGATGCTTATTGTATCGCTGCAGCTCTTGTACTGCTTGTGCCCCTTGATAGTGATGACACAAAACTATTTAATAGGAATAGAACTGTGTTTTAAATCTTTTCTTTTTTCCTTAAAACTTATATTTCAGGTCTTGACCTTTTGAACAAAATGGACCCCCCAAGAGTTATTAAGACACATCTTCCTTTTCAGTTGGTGCCCAGTGGATTTTGGGAAAACAAATGCAAGGTAAGACATCATTTACCGTTTAAACCTGGTACTAAATGCACCACAATCAGGATGAAAGGTTCAGTATACCACTTGATTGGACAAAGAGGTTAACAATTTAATGCCAAACACAGTCATCAAAAAAACTGCTTTATCATGGTTGTAAATGTATTTTTTTATGTCCTTCTCGATTGTGTGTGAAGGCGATCTACGTCGCACGCAATGCCAAAGACAATCTGGTGAGCTACTACTACTTTGATCTGATGAATAAGACCCAGCCTGAGCCAGGACCCTTTGATGGCTACATCCACAAGTTTATGCAAGGAGAATGTAAGTAGATTAAATTACATTCCGACATGTCCGAATACAATAAGTCAAGTACGTTTTCCCTGTGTGGCCAACAGCCCCAACTGAATCATTAACATTCTACATGGTTACCATCCAGTGTCGGGATGGTTATTTACACTTAGATTTTATTAACTACTCATAGTTGGTAAGAAGGTATTTCTCAAATATCACAGTGTTATAAGTGTTATATATAATTCTCGACCAGCTATGATGAGATTAACAGCACTCAGCACAGTAAACACCAGTGAGAAGAAAACCCTCTGCAGATCTAATAAAGAATTTCAACTATTTATCAGGTTCACTATTTACTCACTGCTGTGCCTTTGTCATCAGTAAACCAGCTTCTGCCTCAGCCAATCAGGTGCACAGCTTAACTAATGGACTGGTAAACCCTTATTTATTTTATAAGTGGTATATTTTCTTTAGGGCACGTGAAGATTACAAGGTTTATGAAACGATACATGCTCTGGTTTGTGAGGTGGCCATAACTGATTCACTAAAGTTGAATAGGGATGGCATTTCCTGTTAAAGGTTTCATCAAATACAACAGTTTTACTTCCTCCTCTTATTGTGTTATTTTGGTTGCAAATATAGTAATTCATTTCTTCAGCTAATTACTAGAAGTTGTTGAACAACGGATTTGACAGTTTTTCCTGCATGTAAGTGACCCAAATGTTAATGATTTATCCATAGACTTGTATAGAGCCGTATGCCAATACACGTATGCCAGCTTTAACACATGCATGTACAGTATATTTGGTCTCAGTGATCACAGCTGGCTAAACAAAGAACAACATAGCCACTGGAGTTGCTTGAATGATTGAAGTGTGTTCTCTGTTTGCACAGTGTCATGGGGCTCCTGGTATGATCATGTCAAAGGTTATTGGCTCGAGAAAGAGAAAAACAATATCCTATATCTCTTCTATGAGGACATGAAAGAGGTAACAATGGTCATTTCCTTTGGATCAGATGTTAGATCAAGAAAGAAAATAATAGTTCCTTTTGTTTTCCAAAAGCTAAAAGTAATTTAAATTAATTTTAAATTAATTAATGAAACCAGAGAGCATTTTCTTGGGCTGTTACCCACAGTTAAAGGCTTGACAATATTTTGTTGTCAAGACCTTCCTTGAGGCCAGAGTTTGTTACACAATCACTGGCATCTAGTGGTCAAGTTGAAAACAACAATGATCTCAAAGGCCATCCATCAGTTCTTTTGAATTTTTTCACCTCTCTGAAACTCTTTTCTTGCTATCTGAAATATTGAATAATACATAGTTATTTTACATTTATGTAAAATCTAACTTAAAAAGTATCCCGATAAAGTGAATACTTTTATCTTAACAAACATTCACAAATAATCCTGGCTTCATATTTATCACCCCAGAATCCTCGGCGGGAAGTGGAACGCATCATGAAGTATTTGGACTTGACCGTCTCTGACGAGGTCATCACCAAAATTGTGGAGCTCACTTCATTTAAGAATATGAAGGAAAACCCAATGGCCAACTACTCCTGCATCCCATCACCTGTTTTTGATCAGTCCATCTCGCCCTTCATGAGAAAAGGTGAAGCAATCAGCTCAGTCTTAATTGGACCCCAAAGCCAAATTTCAAGAATAAGTATAAGTGCTATTTAAATTCACTACTGTAGACAGTGAAAATGTCGTGCTCATATAGCTGAAACTATGAATGTATGCCTGATGAATCTGTTTGTAATATATTGTTACCCAGGGAATATGAGACTCATAAACAAAATAAGAATAATCAGGGATAAAACAACATGCAGGTACACTTTCCTAAAATCATTCACTGTTTCTTTCTCTTCTGCATTTTCTCCATGTTCAGGTGAAGTAGGCGATTGGAAAAACCATTTCACACCGGAGCAGTCCAAGATTTTTGATGAAGATTATGAAAAGCAAATGAAGGGCGTCAGCATACCATTCAGGAGCCTCATTTAAAGGATTTTCGTGTCTTTTTCAAATTCGCTCTGCAAACCAAAGGCCAAAAAACTGACTCTGTGCAGCACTTGGACAGCAAAAACACTGTCAGATGATTTGGCAAAAGCTAAAAACCAAAATGAACAATGACAGGAAAAAAAAATCACTTTTTATGTCTGAATGTTACCCACTGTAATCACTGCACTTCTTGAAGTGACTTATTAAAGGCAATTATCTGAATAAATGTGTAAAGGATAAATAAAAATGCGCTCCACAATACAAGTAAATGAGTTTTTGATCACAATTTTATTAGACCTTATCACGTAAACAATAAATAAGACCAGAAGTGTTGTGACTGAGTGGACATGCCCAGTTTATGTCATGAGAACGCCAACAGAGTCCACTGACTGCATGGTGCCTATAGAGAGCGCTGGCAGCTGGAGGCTTGTGGCGTTTTTCTGCCCATATGAAGTCATTTTGCAACCCTACACCACACTGTACAGAGCCCAGCTAAAGCAGGGAGGCTGCACGAGAAACGAGCAACAAAGACTAAAATAAAAGTAATGAGCTGGAAAGTCAATCATATGAAAATGGACAGATGACACAAAAACACAACAACTGAGAATATCCAAGGTTAACAAAAAAACACCTTTAATACACATCTCTTAGAATAAAATCTTAAATATTTTATTACTCTGTCAGCAGGGAAACCTCCCTTCATTTGAAATCAATCTCCTTCTCTATGTTGAGGCATTTTTTGTAAATTTTTGACAAGTTTTATTGTTTTTTAAAAATGTTTTCCTGTGTTTTTCTCCTCTCTCTTCTTTTGGTTGGCTCACTAGGGCTCCCTCTTTGATTGTGATCTCTGTCTATCTCTCTCTCATTTTCGCCTCTTTCTCTTCAACCCTTAAGATCCTCTTCTTCTACATCTCTATTTATGAACTTCTGTACCTGTAAAAGAGATTATAAATTAGTCAGGTAATAGTCATATTTTGAGGAACTTTGGTAATCGACACAAAGACTCTTGTGACAAATGAAAAGGAATGACACTCACAAACAAACAAAACAAATTTCCTCCAAAATACAAATTGGCATAAATTTCGAAGCAATTACCTTCAATAAAAAAAAAAAAGGGATTAAATATGTTAAATATGTGATTAAGTTTGATGAATATTAGAAATAGTATAATCTACTAACCTTCACGAGCATCTCATTAAACAATTTTAAAGTATGCACGTGAAGTAAAACAATAAAATGACGAGAAGTGATGCGTTGATCGACTGACAACACTGTATTTATGAGCTTAAAAAATGTATTTAATTTGCCATTTTACAACCAATGTACTGTAGTTGCATTAGGTGCCGCTAACTTTGCAGACTTCCATTATGCAGAATTACACTTGAAGATATCTTCCCATTTTTATCCTCCTATCTACCATCAAACGTATTAAGATAAACACATGAAGTAAATGTTCAAATCGGCATTGCACAACTAAAGTTAAGTTACAACTTTGGAGATTTTTGTGACTTACTCAGTCCTCACGGTAACAGAAAACATTGATCTAAGAACATAGATTTGTTTAAAAGTAGAAATAAGCACGGTAAAGATGTGTTGTTCCTTCTAAAAGTTAAATGGTTTATATCAACATGGTAGTATAGTTTGATAACTAAATAAATGTACATCTTAGCATTAAATGGAGAGAATGTGTTGAATGTGTTTCCGAATGATTTATTAATATTGTGTGATTATGCTCTTATGGATGTTTGATATGTTTTTTTACCTACATTATAACGGACCATTAACTGTTTGTTACATGTGACTCTTATTAAACTGCATTTGGCATCAGACTGTGTGGGACAGACATTTCCTGTCACAATTACATTCAAAATTGTAGGCACAGATACTGTGAAGATGATGCTGACAGCTGCAAGTCTAAGGTGATCAACTCACCTGCATGATGTCAGAAATAAAAATAAATTCATAACCAACACAGAGCTAACAAGACACCACATTCAGACGGCAGCACTAAGGGATCCCCCCACACAAGTAATTGTGTCTCGTTGTCAATTAAAAATAAACTGTACACGAGACAAAAGAAAAACATAACATACACATACTGATACAAAGTAACAGCTAGTAGTATTGCATGCTATGGAATACCTTGCTTTAGTTACAGGGTAATGGTGGTAGGTTGATTGAATTTACTCTGGAAATCAAAAAGGGTCAGTGAGTTAATGATGAATACAAAAAAAAGTTACAGTAATGAAAGAGATCACACGATGAAAACAGAATTAAATAGAATTAAAATGATGTGAAAATGTAATAATGTTTAATAGGGAACTTTGTTAAAATATTAATACAGATCAAAAGATGACAATATTAATTAATTGATTATTGAGTAGGAGTACAATTATTATCTGTTTCTCAGGTAACAAGATGTGTGTTCATTCTAAAATGTTAGGGCAAATCTGCAAAATTGTTATGTACTTACTCTCAACGTAGTTACGGGCGGCGAACTTCAACACCTCATCAATGAGGATGACGGGGAAGGAAAGCTTCAAGACCATCATCCACTGCTCCACTGACAGATGGGTCAACTTGAAGATCATCTGGGGGGAAGCAAGGAGGTCAGAACTGTTGAAAACCCAGGATTTTTTAAAATAAAGAATGCCTAAACTGAGCAATCTGACTCACGGGCAGAGGGTCAACATAGATGATCATGAAGTGCAGAGACATGGAGAGGGTCATTGCAGAGAGCAGCCAGAAGTTGCTCCACGGGGGCATGCGCAACAGAGACTGGTTCTCAGACAAGCTTGAAAATAAAAAGAAAAGGACATTGTATATTCAAAAACGTTACAATCGCCTTTTCCCCTTTTTTCCCAACTGTGTGCTGCCAAGGTACCTGTTGAGAGCATTGCACATCTCAATGGTGACCAGCACAGACAGGGCCATGGTCATGGGTGGAGATGCCTCAAAGATCTCGCATTCAATGTTTGCAAAGTCCTCATTCTCATCGTGGCACTGCATGAAGTGGGACTGCACCAAGAAGAAGGGAGCTTAATTTGAGTGAACAGTCCACTGTTATTGGAAGGGAGCGTGAAACCAACAATGTTACTCACCAGCTGGTGGTAGGTGACACCGGGGCCAGTTGCATCGTAGAGGAACCACCAGGCAGCACCACCAACAGTGGCAGCACCGACATACCCTGTTGGTTACAGATAACATATGTTGTATGGGTAAAGTTTTTCTTATATTCAGATGTGATCCAAAAAAAGTTTCAAAGTCTTACTTACCACCAATGGCCATGTATCTGAAGAACAGCCAGCCAGAGATCAGGGGCTCCTTGGGAGAACGTGGGGGCTTGCCCATGATGTCAAGATCGGGTGGGTTGAAGCCCAGAGCGGTAGCGGGCAGACCATCTGTCACAAGGTTGACCCAGAGCAGCTGGACAGGGATCAGAGCTTCAGGCAGACCCAGAGCAGCAGTCAGGAAGATACTGGTGGAATGAATGCGGAAGAAATTAACATTTTTGCTGAGGTATGATACAGATAAAGAGACAGATGGTATTCAGACAAACTGGCCACTCACCAGACGACCTCACCAACGTTGGAGGAGATGAGGTAGCGGATGAACTGCTTCATGTTGTTGTAGATAGCTCTGCCTTCCTCAACAGCAGCCACAATGGAAGAGAAGTTGTCGTCAGCCAGGACCATCTCAGAGGCAGACTTGGCAACGGCAGTGCCAGAGCCCATGGCGATGCCGATCTCGGCCTTCTTCAGGGCAGGGGCATCGTTCACACCATCACCAGTCTGAAATGAGAGGATGTTAATCGTAGTTGTTAAAGTACAATCACTCTACAATCATCCATTGACAAACTATGCTTAGAACACCACTAAACTCTAGTGACAGCCTGACTAAAGTGTCAAAGCCTTTGAAGCTCTTACCATAGCTGTAATGTCATCATAACCCTGCAGGAACTCAACAATCTTGGACTTGTGGGACGGCTCGACACGGGCAAAGCAGGAAGCTCTACGCACAGCCTCAGGCTGCTCATCAGAGGGCAGATCGTCAAATTCACGTCCAGTGTAGGCCTTGTCAGAAACATCTTCATCCTCAGTGAAGATGCCAATGCGACGGCAGATAGCAATAGCAGTTCCCTTGTTGTCACCTGAAGGGGAGAGAAGAATATTTTTCCAGAAAAGCTGGTAAATTTTAAGAGTTGCAAACCAAATAATTTAAAACTCACAATTCCTGACAAAAATGCAACAAAATATAACATATCTACTGCACAGAATTCTTCTTAATAAAACAACTGTGTGGTGCAAGTAGATCCATAGAGTTGGTTAAAAGAGATTACACTCATACTCTTTTGCAACATCATAGTCCATTTTTCTAGTTAAATAACTAACCAGTGATCATAATGACACGGATTCCAGCTTCTCTGCACAGTACGATGGAGCCCATGACTTCCTTACGAGGGGGATCCAGCATACCCACGCAGCCAACAAAGGTCAGGTCAGTCTGATGAGAGATGTACGAACAGAGCCATCAAGTCCAACTTTTACTCACAGGCAACTATTTCAATATCAAGCTTGTCTAGATGTTGTGTTCTCACCTCATAGTCAGCAAACTTGGTTGAGTCCTCAAGCTTCATCTCCTCAGGCTTCAGAGGGGTGTCACGAGTGGCAAGAGCCAGGCAACGCAGGGTGTCACGGCCAGTACCCCATTCCCTGATGACAGCCATGATCCTCTCCTTGATGGCGTTGGTCAGGGGCACACGAGTGGTGCCAACGCGCACATATGCGCACCTCTCAATCACACCCTCAGGGGCACCCTGTGGAAACAGTCACGTGGTAATCCAGTTCCTTTTTGATCAAATTTGCTCACAGAAATTTGAAAGATGCAAATAACTGACCTTAACAAACATCTTAGCGCCTCCATCACCCTTGGCTGGTGTGCAGTACACGGACATGGACTTCCTATCACGGGAGAACTCAAGAGTGAAGTTCTTCTTCATGAGCTGCTTGATCACCTGTTGGAAGAGAAAGGGAAGGGACATTTACCAAAAATTTGAAACACTTAGACACTGAGTATATGCAGCTGGACTATACTATATACTATACTGGATCTTTGTAGTATTCAAGTTGTTCGAGATAAACGTACTGTGCAGCAAGCGTTGGCTCTCTCAATCTTGGACAGGTTCTTGACATTGGAGTTAAACACATTCATCTTCTCAACCAGGCAGCACAGGGCAGTCTCAGTAGCCTCGCCAACCTTCTCAAAGATCTTCTTGGACTGGAAAAAAGATGGAGGAGGGTTGGAGGAGGTTGGTTACCCTGTTCATGGTCATGAGGTTTCTTAGTGGCAATTGGAGAGCAATGATTTTTACCTCATTGTAGTCCAGAGAGGAGTCGTTACACAGGGCGCAGATGGTTGACAGCTCGACAAGGCCATCGTGTTGGCTGCAGTTTACCTTTGAACCTCCCTGAGAACTTATGGACAAGGAGAGAGTTGCAGGCACATTAGAGGCAATTCTTGCACACAAACGGATCGCACATGATATGGAATGGAAAAACAACTTACACCTCGCCTTCTGGGGTGTATTTGGAGCCAGAGATGTCAAAGGCATCAAGGTCAACATGGTCTCCATCAACATTCTTGATAATGAACATCTATGAAGGAGGAAACATAGACCAGATTCGCTGTGATTATTTTTGAAAAAATACCTTCAGCATATTTCGTCTGGCGAAATACCCACCTTGGTCACACACATCTGGTTGGTGGTGAGGGTTCCAGTCTTGTCAGAGCAGATAACTGATGTGCAGCCCAGGGTCTCCACAGAGGGCAGGCTTCT